GTCATTCCTGTGCATTAAGCGTTCCTTTGTCTTTTGAAAAATTACGCTGTATTAATATCTATTGCCTACCTGTGCTTACCAGAAACTACTTGTTGTCCTGAAATGATGTGACTTCGACGACGACGACGACGATGGCGGCGGCGGCGGCGGCTACGTCGACGTCAACGATGTGGAAGTAACGGAGGCATTGTACATACATGGGATCCATGTAAAACATCAACGATGAACTGAAAAAAAGAGAAGCTGAAACCAAAAATGAAACAATAGATCTTCTTTCTTTAACATATTACAATTTAAGGCATTTACCATTTTGGCCTCGATGGTTTCGTATTGTTGGTCGTTTTGTTGGAGACGGGCTCACACATTTTGCCAGTCGGATTGTTGATGTGGTGCAGCGTGCATACAATGTCGATGTCGCTGTACAATGTACATGCATATAGCTCCTCCATTCCACATATTTTGTGGTCTTTTTTCGAGTGTATGCGTCGTGTGTATGTTTGCTGGATACTCTCTCTTTGTCAGTCTCTATCGCGCGTATTCGTTGTCATTTAGTTCTCAGTTGCCCGCCTGGAATCTTAAAACGTATTGTATGCCCTATCTATGACTTTTATTTCGTCGTTTTTCCACAGCCTCAGCTGATATCTAGTTATTCAATGCAACTCGAATGCCACGCTGCTGCTACTCCTGCTGCTGCTGCTGCATTGGTATCATCAGAGATCGGCCGTGGTAAAATGTTTTGTGTATGTCTATGCTGATGCTGCTGCTGCTGTTGTTGTGTGCTGCTTTTTGTACAATTTCATGTGTGATTTATGATGATGGTACTTCTTCAAATCTTTAAATGTGTCTTTTCCGCCTTAACATTGTCTCTCAAATTTACCTCAGTCCGTCCATCGTACGTTGAACAATAGTGTAAAAAAGAGAATTGAGTGAGATGGAGAGAGCGTGTAAAGTCGAGAGAAAGATGAAATGTCGGGAGAAGAGAAGCACAGAGAAACCAGCATCGAAGATGAATATATACAACAATAACACGGTTACAGAGCGCAACCAGCAAAGACTCATGCTCAACCATACCATGTTTGTTTCATACTTTGGCCTCTACACAAAAGTCACAATCAAATGATGAAGTTGTTTCGTAGATTTAAATGCCTTTGTGCAGCACAAACGGCAGTAACTATAATAATAACTTCAAAGAAACGAATAGGAAAATTTTTTTATATTAATATCGAATAGAACAAAAACTCAAAAGCTGAAAATGAAAGGAGGATGATGATGAACATGGGACAGCGTGCAATACAAGAGAATCATCATTTTGAACTATCATTTCAAGAGTGCGCGCACATACGCCAAACGCTCTCGTCGAATATCCCTCGTTTGAGTTCATGCTCTTTTTTGGCTATTGCTGACTGTTAGTCGCATGCATCATACACATTTTCATTCGGTTCTCCGTTTCATATCGCTCCGAATCGGGAGCATGATTTCGATTCTGTTTGCTTTTTTCAAACAGAACGCTCAGCAACAACGTTGTACAAATTTATGACAGCAGCAGCAGCAAAAGCAATAGCATATAATCGGTTTTCTTCCATGGGACAGAGAACAAAAACTGCAATTTGTTCGCCAGATACCCAAAAATACATTAGAGATAGAGCAAAAAATAACCATATTCATCTCATAATTGGATTCGAATAGAGAGTTCACTGCCGTGCGAGTTCGTATCACTGATATTGTTGACCATTTTCGTATAAATACGCACACACACACACACATCTATTTCGAAAATGGACACAGAGAGAGAGTGAGCAACAGTGAGGAGAGCAAACAAAAAACCTCCCAGAAAACGTCGACGAGCCAAAAATATGAAATAAATATTAAAATAAACAACCAAACATTTATTATCGATGCTCGCATTCTAACGTTCGTAATTTATGGCGATCTAAGATCTTAGAAAACAAATACGGTCCATCACATTAAAAAGCAAACGATCGTACTGGTGAGGGGTAAACAAATTAATACGTTGTTGGTATAATGATTTAATGATTATTCATTCCGGCGCAATGGGGATCCGAACGAGAGAACCACATTTTGTAACAGACGAACAGAGCGCAAATGAGAAATAGAAACAGAAACAGAAACAGAAACACAAACGAAACAAAACGAACAAAAATAGAGAAGAGATACGACACAACGAAAACCGAAAAGATAGATAAAGCAGAATCGTTAAATCAAGCTTCTAAACTATCGGTCAAAACATGTCCAAAATAAACATTTATATTCAAAATGTGGTAAGTTTTGGTGACCGTGTGAGATACGAGCTGCGCTGCAGCAGTTCAATTCTATGAAGATCAGTTCGAACGAATGTGGATGAGTTTCAATGTTGACAAAAGTGCTCAACACTACACACACACCAACACAAAATATATATATACGTATTTCTCGTTCATCTTTTTCCGTTTGGAAAATTTGATTAAAAGTCGAAAATTGGCATTCCATGCGTACTTTTTCATTGGAAGTTCCAGCTCAACAGTGGTTTGAACGCAACATTTTCAGGGAAAAGTTCACTCAATTTATTTGCATTTTTGATAGTTGTCACAAAGGTCGTCGATTGTCTCATGTTGTAGGTACTTCACCTACGACTAAAAATGTAACCAAACATACAGGCTACCAACCATGGCTCTCTCTCTTGTACTCATTCAAAAAGCGAGCGGGGATCACTCGCAACCATGCAACTTGATATTGAACAAGTCAAAAGGTTAGGTCAGAATTGAAATGGTACCAAATGAATGAAATCACTTTAAATTGATTAATATATGTATATATGAAATGAGAGGCATGTGGAACATTGCAGGAGGACAGAGAAGGTGGTAGGGAGAGAGGAATCGTTAGACTCGGTGAGGGAGCATTTCTGCCATATAAATATCTAATCAAATTCTCGACATTCACGAAATTCACCATACCCATTCGTTGTGTTGTTCGTCGTTGCAGTGTCGTCGCAGCTTCGCTTAAAGGCGTTCAATGCAAACACCAAACATATCGGAACATGCATGCAAACTCGTTGATTTTCTGGATGGTTTTCAATTAAATAACAAACGGCATGTAAACAATATGACATAACAATCCCAACATGTTTGTGTATTTTAAATGTTTGGCTGCCCTCTTCTTCGTTGGTATGCTCTTCTTTCGACTGCTGCCCTCTTCATCGTAGACGTGTTGGTGTATTCGGTATATATATATATCGATTGAGCACATTTCACGGGGATAACAACGCAAACGTTTAAGTATAGCCCTTTCTTCACCCAGTTTTCCCTATCGAGTGTGTGCGAATGTTTGCTTGACTTGTGCGAGACCAAATACGGGCCGCAAAATTAATGAAATAATAAGCCAAAAGGATTGTGAATAAAGTTCTTTGGGCAGGAAGTGAGAAAAAATTGCGATCTCGTTTGAATTTGATGTTACGACACATAATCTAACCGCAAGGATTATCGTTGTTGCCGTTTTTGCGTGTCGCCTCACTTTAGAAGGGAGAGAGAGAAATTTCGGTACAAAAGACAATATGAAATCCACAGCCAAAATAATATCCATGAAAGCGAAAGCGGAATGTATCATTAAAATTTTGTACATGCATGACTGAGTATGTTGTGTGACGTCAAAAAACGGAGCACGATTTACACAGCTTTATATTTCCTGCCTGCCACAATGGCAGATGTACATTACACGCGTTCCAAAAAATACGGAAATGAACCAACGTTGGAAAATCGCTGCGATATTATAAACAGCAAGAGAAAAAAGAACCGAACATTAAATGAAAAATTAGGCATTGTTTCTTTTTCTTTCTCTCACTCTCTCTTTCTCTCTCGCTCGCTGTGCACATGTTTGTTGTTTCCGCGAAAAAAAAAATTAAAAATATATTAGAAACAGTGCTTGCTTTAAAGGGCTAAATGTGAGGCATAAATTGTGCATAAATGTTACAGTTAATCGTTTACAGTGAACCACAACGAGCACATCAAAATACAAATTCCAAATATTGTTAGTCAGAACAGACACACTGCATTATTCACGCATCATGTGTACAGCAAACCCAAAGAAAAAAGGGGCAAAACAATCCGCAATCACTTTCACAATACACAAAATGAGTGAAAAATTTGAAGAATAAACAACAACAATGAAAAACATTACTAAGATTTCTACGATTCGTTCGAAACGAATCGGTTTTAGAGCGATTCAAGCGAACTGTGGTTGCCGAATTAAAAAGGAACAGCTACAGAGATCAAAATGAAATAAAGAAAAATGGTCATTCTCTGCATGTGCTAATGGCAGCAGCAGAAGCAGCAGCACCAATGACTTTGAAAGACCAATTAGATTCGCTTTTACCGCAATTTTTCACTCTTGATTTCCGTAATTTTTCTGAGGCATCTCCACAGTCGAACAGAACCATTCGATTCGATCCAATGTGTTTCTATTTGTTGAAAAGATAAACTAAAACGAAATGCCATTAAAAATTCTCTAGGAAGTAAATAGTGAACCATTTCGAACCGATTGCAATAGACAAATCATCAATGTGCTTCGAATCGATTCTCCACCATATGAACAACTTTTATTTTTGGCTTGTTTGATATACAATTCGACACTTAAACACACCAAACGATTAAAAAAAATACAATACGTGGAAAAAATGTCATGAGGAAAAAAACAACAACAACAACAACAACAGTAACTCGAATATAACGAATTTGTATGATAAACGATTTTTTGGGAACAGCAACTGGATAAAAATAACATCAGAAACCAAAAAAAACCTGGGGATTACGATTCGTTTCGGTGATTAGTTGTATTCATGCTCGAAGGAATAAGCTTAGCAGATAGCAACGCAGCAATCAAGAACTGTTAAAAAAACATACCAAAGATTATTTCAAAACCAAAGCAAAATCGAACACTTCATTAACAAAATGATTCCCTTGTTTTTAGTACTTATTCGTGTGTTTTTCTTTCGTTTCATTCTGTTTCAGTTCTGTCAATACTTTAAAAGAGCGAGAGAGCAAGAAAAAACACAGACTTTGGGCGGAATTTTCACCTTTGATTCATTTATCAATTTCGTTACAATTGAACGAACGTACGGCTGACAACATCGTTTAGGGGCGTTTAAACTGTCGGTGTGTGCTCGGTCGCCTGTCGAAGGATTCTCGATTGAATGCAATTAACCGTTTGTGCAATCAAGTTGTGCTGAAGGCGCGTTGAACGTGACGCATTTCAAGATGTAAGTTGATTTTTTCCATAATTTTTTTTTGTTCTTCCGTTAACATGTACATGTACATGCATATACATCATATTTGTATCTGCTTCTTTTTTTCCACGTCTGCCCTGCGCTTCTCGAACACGAGATAATTAACATTTCAATGATTGAGGCAGAAGACAAAACCGGAATAATATAATTTCGTTTTTCTCAAATAGAATTAATCAAAAATGTAAATCAAGTGATTATTCTGGAGCGAAAAAAATTACTGAAAGAACGCCGCACTGAATGATGAATGAATGTCCTGTATATATTATAAATATTTTATCTTCTTCGTGTTTCATCCTTATTGGGCTGGAAACACTAATTGCTCTCCAAACATTCCGACCCGCGCGTCCTATGCATTAGTTCCAAATTAACACACACCTCCAAATGTCGATGGCCATTAAATTTTTTTCAAACATCTTACTTTTCTATGCATTATTGCATTAAAAATTCAACAAACTATTATATTTTTTCGAATGTGTCGGTCGGTAGCTGGCTGGCTTCTTTTTTTCGATGAAAATTAAAAGCGAATAAATATCGAACAGGAAGTAACTAACGTAAAATTACGTCGACAGTAGGTAGAGGTGAGGAGACATTATGTCGACATTTCGAGTGCAAACATTTTATCGCAAATATATATTGTTAAATTAGGACCGATGGGAAAGCCGCACATCTCTGTAAAAGGAAAGTTTGCATGAAAGCGCTCTGACAGCGCTCGAGTATCAATATCATCGTAGCTAGCGCTGTTGCTGTTGTCCCAGTGTGTGTATATGTGTGTACTCGGCAACAATTGCAGCCTAAAGGACCACAAACGGCAATAGAAAGTCGAATTTAAGCTCGTTAGAACTGGCTAAACGCTGGCTTGATGCGTCTGTGTGTATACGTGCATATCTCAGAGTATGGATAAGTTTTTTTTTGGCTTTCTGTTATTTTAGTTACTCTCGAATTCGTCGTGCAAATAAAATCCGTTCTCAAAAAGAAAACATATAAAAGCGTCAGGAATTACACAAACAGATTATTCTTCGGCGTACATAGTTTGCGATGCGGCATAAATATCACTTGAGAATTGAGAATGTGTTAGCCTCGTCGAAATGCAAATATAAATTATGTTAGATACACATAGTTTATGGTACTCTGTTTGTCTCTGTGTGCGCTTTTTACCGGATTTTCAACACACACACATACCTAAACTATAACACACGAAAGAGATGCGATTAGAACGAAAACTTTTTGCGGTTTCCATTAAATCCATTCAAATTGTTACGCCCAAAATAATATTCATTATTAATTACGCTTGATACTTTTTTGGTATGATTTTCTGTATGCCTCTTGCGATTTACGTTCAACGGCGATGTTGCCGCCGCCACCGTCGTTGACGTCTCTCCGTGTGTTTGTTTTCTACTCGTCCACGCCGCATACGCTACGCATATCGCTGAATCAATGATACCAAACAGTTTTTTTTTTAAATAAATACAGCTTGATGAGTGCCGGGCCGCTTTTAATTTTCTGTTTAATCAGCCCATTAGTTTTTGTTTATATCGCATAGATTTATTCTTATATACATTTTATTCCTGTGCGCGCGGGATCCTTTTTCGGGGGGCGAAATTTTACCGCGCGCTTGTAAGCATTTCTTTTTAAATATTTTGTTTGTGGCTTGGGGCGTTAGCTCAATCTCATTTTGTTTACTTTATGCCTGTTGTGTGTAGGTGGTGGCTTTTGGTTGTTGGGATATATGATCGCCGGAAGTTTATATTTATTCAAATAATTCAGATTAAAGATGTTGCTTTTTCCCCACCGCCATTTTCGAGAGTTGGTGTCTAGCGGAGCTCGCGTAATTACAAGTTGACCTCAAATTATGGATATACATTGGTATATTTTATATCCCAAAAACTCGACCACTCGACGTCGTAAAACTATAAACTTTTCACTTCGGTTTTGTGTAACCATTTGCAAAATGCTATGCAACATATATTTCGATTGCTCGATCATCAGAAATGCCACAAAACGCCTTTTCAAAATGAAATATCGCAATTGTGAATATTTCAATTGCATGCATGAAACGAAAACGCAAAACTGAACTATGAAGCAAACCGGTTAAAATTTAATATAAATCAACTAAGAAATAGTGTCGAGAACTTCCCAATGGGTACAGAAAAAAAGTGAATAAGAAACTTTGGTACGGTTTCCAGTGGAAAATTCAAAGTTTGATTTGGTGTTGTTGAGCTAAGGCAACGTGACCCAAGTTTGTTTGTGTGTGTGTGAGCAAGCGAGCGAGCAAGCGAGCTTGTGAGCCAACACTCAACACACTGGCCAAGTCAGTTAATGGATTTTTTCCACGTCTTTCTACCTTTTTATCGCACGAAATTGATACATTATGGCTCGTTTTTCCAACCATCCTTGCCCGTTATAAGAACACAGAAAAACAGCGTTGGCATAAATAAATGACCAAAAATGGCACATTAGTCTGAATTCGTTTTTCTTGCGCTTTTCCAAGCAGCGAGCAACTTTGTAGCATAAAAACATATTTAAACGGAACAACAATAATTTTTTCTGTCAGTTTTCGTACATGTATAGAGAGAGATACTACCCGGAGTTAAGCGTAGTTCGGAATACTAAAAATCATGGTTTTCACCAATGATTCACGCAATTTTCACCGGTTTGTATGTGCCCGGAATGTGAACGTCCATGTACATTCGTTCCGCGTGAAAGCAATATTATTTTCATTTCAAATAAGAAGTAGCATCTCACCAAATAAATGATAAAAACTTTCGAGTTAAAAAGGTTAATGCCAGTAGAACAGCAACAAAAAAAACCTTACTTCTCTCTCTCTCTCTCTCTCTCTCTCTCTTTATCTTTCCCCTGCCGTTTTGTCCACTTTGTTCATGAATCTTGGTTGGAAATTGGAACGAATATTATTTTCAACATTGGCACTATGAATGGTGGCCACTTGCGTTGGTGAGAACACACCAGAAATCGAGCGAAGCGAGTGAACGGAGGAAAACTGACCTGGTGCGAAATCGAAAAACATGAGAAAAACAAGTAGGAAACCGAAAGAAAACCCATCGAAGAAAAAATTGGTCGATTTAGGAAAAGTGCAATAAAAGCAACCAAAGAAGAAAAAGAAAGAAGAAGCATACTGAAATGAATAGTATCAACTCATTTTGAACCTCGCTTCGATCCCCCGAAATTGTTTCATCTTTTACGGTATATTATAATAAATGAATGACATTAATTCATCTGGACAGTTCAATTGAAAGTTTTTCGTGCGTATACACGTATACACGTGCAATGGCCGGGCTCTGTCTGTATTTCTGATGCTGGGTAAAAGCATGAGGGATTCAAATCGCATAATGCTCTAGAGCTCTAGATCAAGCAAGCGCCAGGATACCGACGAGCCATTGCAGAAATGCACTGGTCGCAAATGAATGAGAGTATGAGATAGAGAGAACTTTATGACAGTCGAAATAGTCGAACGAGATATATGATGTCGAGTAGGATGGTGTTTGGCTACCCTTTTTTGCACTTTCTATGCTCGAACATGCACGTGTGACAAAATCCATAAGATAGTTTAACCAACATCGTCACACAAACAAAAGCAATTGAGACAGGAAAAAAACGACGTTTGAACTGCGGAAGAAATATAAATGGAATCTCATCTCGAACATTTTTGTTCCTCTTTCGAAGCACAGTATTCCTTCAGTTCGATTTATTTTTCCTCTTTTAATATGCCCAGAGATTGTATTTGTATAATATGTCGCTGAAAGGAAAAAAGGTTCGGTTTCAATGTACTGTTATTGTTACTGTATACATATATATATATATATATATATATATATATATATGTATGTGTATATAACTGAGATATACATTTGCTTGAAATCATCCAATTCCAAAGCCGATTCCGCTAGAGCAATGTTTGTCAAACAGATCAAGCGGAGAGAAGAAGAAAAAAATCCGTTTTTACTTATATATACACAATCGAAATGTAATAGTTGGTCTTCGTCCTTCTCATCCAAATGCAAACCTTTAATATTGATCAAATAAATGTGATACCCTTCGGAAACGAATCGTTTGTTTAAGTTTTTCTATTTGATTAAATAGTCAGCTACTTAACGGTTGCCTTTGCCGATGGTAGTCGTTGAGGGTACAACATATACATTTATATATATGCACAACGACATCACCCAATGATTTGCATTTGCATTTTAGATTTATATTCAGTGCACAGTGCTCTATTTTGCCTTCATTCGTTAATCCATCACTTTATTGCCATACAGCGAGGCGAGGACATTGAATATACAAAACTCAAGTCCAAAACAAACAAACAACGGATGGGTCATTGATTAAAAGCTGTTTTGTGTCACACCCACAACAATCAAGCGATTTTCTCGTTATCTCTACACTTTTTGTTCTATCGCATTGGTTATCCCATCGAAAGTGAGATTTGTACACTTGAAATATATTCGCTTGTTAAATTTTGAATCAATAATAATTCTTCAATAGAAATACAATCGATCAATGCTGCAATATTCCAATTTCAAGGCAACGCAGGGGCGGTGGTACCATCGATACGAAAGAGTGAGAGAGAGGAATAGAGAGCGAGAATTGAACCGATGAGGAAGAAGACAAAAATCCACCGCTTATGAATTTCTAATATGACAAATGGCAATGATCATCATGCGAAAACGAAGAAAAAAAATGAAAGTCGTTGGTGTATATATGTGTGTGTGTGTGTGTGTGTGTGTGTGTGTGTGTGTGTGTTACGTGATTATGATGATGATATATGCAATCAAATTTAGTAGCTCCCCAAACGTAAAAGAGACTTGAGCGCAATGGCACCAAACCAACAAACACTCACAAATATACTAACAAACAAACAAACGATTATTTCCCTCGAGATAGACGAGCAACGAAAACTGAACCGAAAAAAAACACATACAAATTCGCAAGATGAATAAAGTGAAATGAACACAAAGTGT